TTCTTATCAAAGAATGTGGAAGTGATTGAAATAGCTGCGAATCTCCATACGTACTGAGTGGATTTTCGTGATATATATGTAAATATAATATATATCATCTTACCTTGGGTTGTTGCACTTCCTGGTGAAGGTCTTGACGCCGGTGCCGCCCTCTAGGCACGTCGACGTGCACTGCCCGTCGAGCGAGTATTCACCCCATGCGCCATCGATGACAGGTGGCGCTGCGTTACCCCAGCCGACGCACTTCGTTCGTCTGCACCACTGTAACGATGTTTGCATGGACCAGCTTCAGGTATGATTATAGATACTCTGTATTCATATACTCAGAATGATAAAGGAATATCAGGTAAAAGCGGAGGAGGAGAAGAAGGAGAGGGCGATAGTGATGGAGGTATGGAATAGTTGACAAAGAGGAAGAGGAGGAGGAGGAGGAGGAGGGGGAGGAAGGGGCAGCATTTCAAAGAGCTGAGCAAGTGAGAAGAGGAGGTGGCATACGAAAAGGATATATGTTGAGGAGGAAGAAGTAGAAGTTGTTAAAGAAGAGAAAGCGGTGGAAGGGGGAGGTGAGGAAGGTGATGAAATTGTAAGTGGCGAAGGCAATATATAACAAGACGAGGAGAAGAAGTCAGAAAATAAAAAGGAATTAGAGGAAAGAATAATTTAGAGAAGCTGGTGGCTTAGAGAAGGAAAGAGAAGTTAGTGGAGGAGAAGGAATGAGATGAGAGGAGGAGATGAGGTAGAGAAGAAGAGAAGGCGGTCCTCCAACGTACCTTCTTCGCTCCACAATAGGTTCCTTCCAGCGCCGGATGTGCGCCGCGGCTGATATGGGAGTTACTTGGATCTCTGCACCACAGCACGCGGCAGATGTCCTGTAAACAAACATCAGTATTGAGCGAGTTAGCTTATGTTGTCGGTTATACGCGTACGTGCGCGCGCGCGCGTGTGTGTGCGTGAATGCGTGTGTATGCTCGTGTACGCGTATATATATGTGTGTGTGTGTGTGTGTGTGTGTGTGTGTGTGTGTGTGTATGTGTGTGAGTCTGTGTGAGTGTGCGCGCGCGTGTGTGTGCGTGTGTGTGTGCGTGCAAGTGTGTGCGTGTGTGTGTGTGTGTGCGTGCGTGCGTGTGTGCATGCGTGTGTGTGCGTGCGTGTACACGTACCGCTATCGGGAAGGAGGGACCTTTGCTTCTCTCGGACTTCTCGCTGCCCGTGTAGATCTGACACTGAAGGTCAGCGTCGAAGCGCTGACCTATGAAGGCGGGGTCGTGGTCAGCAATGACCGCACTCGGGTCGTTGTCCAGACACTCGTACATGCTGCAGAGACGAGCGACGCGTCGTTGATTTCATGCGATTCATGCGAGATATTTTATTTCAACTGCTATTGTGCTAGGTGGATATTGAGAGTAGAAGGAATGCGACGATGTGACGTGATATGATGTGATGTGATGTGATGTGATGCGATGTGACGTGACGTGACGTGACGTGACGTGACGTGACGTGATATGATGTGATGTGATGTGATGTGATGCGATGTGATGTGATGTGATGTGATGTGTTTACGATGTGGATGTGTCGCGATGTGACGTGACGTGACGTGACGTGACGTGACGTGACGTGATATGATGTGATGTGATGTGATGTGATGTGCAGCCGTATTCGTGACAAGATTCCATTATGTATGTATGTTTCGAAAATTAGTAGCGTGTGATCTATTACTGCGGTGTGCGTCAGGGAGTGTTTTATTTCCCCAGACAAGCAATAGAGGTGCTTTAACTCTTGCAAGTCATGCTCGCTCCTTGTGCCAATCCAAAGCTTATGTTAACACTGGTCATTATCCAAAATTATCCCACTTATCCTACAATATCCCATATCATCCTACATTATCCTACATCATCCTACATTATCCCACAGTATCCGACATTATCCTTAGGCTCCGCGCTATTGTCCACGCCAATGGCCATTCACACAAGCGGCACCTAGCGGGAGAACGCGTCAACTTACCCTATGTATTTTATGAAATCCTTGCGGCTGCAGTGCGACCATTCGATGCCCACCACGACGCTCTCTGCCGACATGAGGTAGCCTTTCCTCGGACACGTGTTACCAGTACCATCGTGCACCATGCCAAAGCTACACGAACAGATACAACGTATCAATAGTCTATCAATTAGGAGAAATCAATCGATTGATCAATAAATACAGAAATAAAACAGTGAGTCAAACAATCAATGGAACGATTGATCGATCAATCAATCATTTTTTTAAATCGACTAATCAATCAATCAATCAATCAATCAATCAATGCACGCACGCACTAGCCGAGCCTACTGCCTGCCGCACGAGCCTGTTGCTATGCTTACAGCCGACGCGCCGGCGTCTAGGCGCATGCGCACTTACTTGTGTCCGATCTCGTGCGCTATGGAGTAGAGCGAGGAGAAGCCTCTTCCCTCGTTAACGCTGCATGATGTGGCACGGTTACACATAGCTGCGACGTGCGCGTACCCCGTCACGGAGCGCTCCACTCTGCTGCCGAACTGCACGTACATGTCCAACCTGCCAGAAATCGATCGATCATCGATTATTGATTATCTGTCGTCGGTGGTGCGCATACGAACAGGCGCCTACGCACGCACGCACATGCAAACACACACACGAAAGCACAAACGAATGAAGAAACGAACGAACGCAAACACACACGCGCACACACACACACTGTCACACACACACACACGCACGGCACGCGCGCTACGCGCAGGACGCACGCACAGCACGCACACACGCACACAGCGCACACGGACGCAGCACACGCACGCACGGCACATACGCACACAACAGCCCACATGCACAGCACACACAACAGCACGCACGCGCACACAGGGGGCACACGGCACACACACGTGGCACTACACACACATACACACATGCACATACACACACGCAAGACATACACATACATATAATGAATTATATATATATCATATATATATATACTATTATATTATATATACTATATATATATGGCACTCACCCAGTCATTAGTATTGCGTTGTCCCAGTGTCCCGGTATGCCTTCCTCTGGGTTTAACGTCTCCTGATAAACCCTGAATTGTTTCAGTAAGAAGTCCGCCTCTCCATCGTCCGGCAGCTGTGACTGCAAGCAACATGTCGTTGTTATTGTGTTATTGTATACAACATTGTGGAAGCAACATGTGGTCGTTATTGTTCAAAACGGTTGTTGTTGTATACAACAGGAAACGCCCAAGCAACCGATGGTCATACTTTTGTGTTATTGTATAACGCATGCTGAACGCAACAGGTGGTTGTTATTGTATGCAACGTGCTAGCAGCAACATATGTGCTTGTTATTGTATACAACATGCTAGAAGCAACAGTTGGTTGTTTCACTATTTCTCTCTTCATTCCATCTACCACCTCTCCCTATTACTGCCTCCCCCTCTTTCCTCTTCTCGCTCTCCCTTTTCCTTCCCTCTCTGTCGCCCTCATTCTTGCTATCTCTTATCTCCCAGAATGCCGCCTGTTCTCTGGGACGTGTGGCTGCCTATTTAGCAAACTCCACGACAGATGGCGCTCTCGCTCTGACTCAATTCACTGATCGCACCCTGAGGGTCGGTCTTGTACGAAGGGGGCACTGCATGCAGTTTGCCTATTTACTACGGGGTCGGTGGCTGGTCCGGTACTCACACGTCCCTTGGTAAACACCCCGCCTGTATAACATGGTATACATCCCCCTGTGATAAAACGACCCCCTCTCCATTGCGCATGCTTAACAAATATCAAATCCCCATGCCGAAGCGCAGTGCACCGTAATGTAGATGGAGAATGTTTGTTACGGAGAAGAGACCGTGTACTATAGAGGAGCCAACTAACCGAAACTATAATAAAACCACAGACTAACGGATACAATATGTGGATTTATATAAATAAATATATAAATATATAAATGAATATATATAACGGATACAATATATATAACGGACACAATGTATCCGTTAGTCTGTGATAAAACCCCCATTGTGACCCAGTGACCCGACCCGCCGAGGCCTCGACGGTGACGTCATCGTGGCAGATCGCGGCAGGTCACTATTTCTCGATCAGGTCAGGGCCGTAGGCTGAGCAAATGCCTAGGAGGGCAGTGGCGAATCCAGGATTTCAAGGAGGGGGTGAGAAACATGTGGGGGTCTGGGGGTCCTCCCACGAAAATTTTTGAAAATGTAGATCGCAGGAGATGGTATTTGAGGCACTCTTGAGTACCTGTACAGCCTTCATCCTGACTACGACAATTATCATTTAGTGCAACAATTTATGTTTTTTATTTTGCTCCAAAATCTAGGGGGCAGCTGCCCCTTGCCTCCCCCCCCGCAGGCTACGGCCTTGGGGAGAGCAGTCAGCATTCCTGGCGTCTGCTACGGTGCTGGGAACGTTGTCTGCGTACGTTACTTACCCGAACCGCGACGCTACCAATGACACACATAATAAATAACAACCCGTGCATAATACTGACGTGCGTACAGCGTGTGCCGCAGGGTGGGTATGCATATTTTACCCAGATATCCGCGCGTGTCCTCGCGCTCTCGTATGTAGGTTTTTCGGCAGTGGGAAGCAGACGAACTCACGCGTGTTTCGCATATAACGGGACACGTACGTATGTGCATCTGTAGGGGATGTCAGTTCCAGACTTTCGAATGCCAGACAGCCACTGAGAGCTATAAATCACCCGTGTTTGAGTGTGGCTTGTGTGGTGTGTGTGTGTGTGTGTGTGTGTGTGTGTGTGTGTGTGCGTGTGTGTGTGTATGTGCGTGCGTGCGTGAGTGAGTGCGTGCGTCTGTGTGTGTGGTGTGCGTGTGCATGTGCGTGTGCGTGCGTGTGCGTGTGCGTCTGTGCGTATGTGTCTGTGTGTCTGTGTGCGTGCGTGTCCAAATAATCATGCGTGCGTGCGTCAATCATCTAGGGGCTGTTGAAAAATTTGGGTTCTGACCGGAGCTGAGAGTGCCTGCAGGCGCTCGCATGTGAGACCATATCAGTTTAATGAGACGCTAACAAGGTAGACCCGCGATGTCGGCCGCATACCTGCGCATACGCGCGCGCAATCTAATGAATAAATCCACCAAGTCTCGTGCCTGGCTACGCGTCGCGGGTAGTACGCTAGAGCCGCAGATGAAATGGTGGTAAATATGCGCTCGTTTAGCTCCCGGCTAGATATGCAGCTCTCCGCACGGACCCAGTCGCACAGAGGTACGTACATGCAGAGACACCGCAGGAACACTGGGTCTGGGTGTCTGCGCATAAAGTCGGTTGCTGCGCCAAGAATATCATTCATATTAGTCATAATAAGAAGAGGATGAAGAGGAGAAGGAGGAGTAGGGAAAGGAGGAGCAGGAGGAGAGTGAGAGGGAGGCACCGGAGGAGGATAAGGACGAGGAGCGACAGAGGCGGAGAAGTAGGGGATGAGGATATTCTATACGCTACGCATGCGTACTCACAATTTTCGTCTTTAGTATCTCCAACCTCACGACCTTGAACGTGACTTTGTAACCTTTGAACGCCGACCGGTGGTAAAGCAGATTCATCTAAAACAAAGATGGTGACACGCATGACGAGGGCACGCTCCTATATCGCTAATCACATATTAGATCGATGTATTGATACATCGTATATACACAATATTCTAATAATAGCATAACTAACGCGAATACGAGATCGTTGAACGTGGACTACGTCACACGACGAGGCCACGTGACGACATTACGTAATTAAAATGACGTCATTACATGACGTCACGCAACGAGGTCGCGAAACGACGGCGTTGAGTAGAGACATCGCGCGATGACGTCACGAACGCACGTGAGCTTCTGCGGAGCCTCTAACGCCATCTATCGGCGGCCACTCACCCCGTTGACCGAGGCGAGGATGTACTTGAGGATCTCCTTGTTCTCCGGGTCGGCGGCCGATCGAGATTTCTCGTACAGGCTGTTGTCGAAGAAGATTGCCAACTCAACGATCTTCTGCTTCGTCTTGGCCGCGCGTCGCCGCCGGTGGGTGGCGCTGCTGCTGCTCAGTTCGTCGTCGAGCTTGAGAAGTCGCTCGTTACCGGCGAGGTCCTGCGAGCGAGCCAGCATCGCGTCTGCCGACGACAGAGATGAGCGTGTTGTGTGTTGTAGAGACAGAGACGCAAGCACACACACGCGCGCGCACGTACACATAAACGTACACACGCATACGCACGCGCGCACACACTCATAAACGTACACAAGCACACACGGACTCAGAGAGAGAAAGCGAGTAATGGTAGAGAATGAAAGCGAAAGCGAAAGAGCGAGAGAAATAAGCGAGCGAGCAAATGCAGAAAAAAGACAGAAGACAACGAGAGAGATGAGAGAGCGAGAGAGAGAGAGAATAGAATGAAGAGACGAGGCGAAATACGGACAGGAAGAAAGAAGGACGCGCGAGACGAGAGAGAGAGAGATAGATGAGATGAGATAAGAGAGAGACGAAGCGAGATGAGAGAGAGCGAGAGAGAGAGATGAAGAGAGAGAGAGAGAGAGAGGAGATGAAGAGAGCGAGAAGAGAAGTGTGTGTGTGTGTGTGAGAGAGAGAGGAAGGCTTGTATATTGATATATAGGTTTAGTATATGATCAACGTATGTTTCCGTTCTCTTCCTGTATACTTTTTGCGAGTGTCAGATACCATGAGTGTCACACAGCAGGCAACGGCAGTGACGCGGCGCGAAAGCGGAAAACTGCACGATCAGGCAGCGCGAAAACGCGACACCTTGCCAATGGTCGCATGCTCTGCCGATCGTGGCGCATTATTGTCGGGAGAGGGAGAGGGGGAGAGAGGAGGGAGAGGGCAAGAGAGAGATTAAGTTGAATAGGCGAGAGAGAGAGAGAGGGGGTGAGAGAGGGAAAAAGAAGAAGGAAAGAGGTAGAGAAAGGGTAAATTTAGAAAGAGAGGTTAGAAGAGAGAAGAGCAGAGAGAGAGAGAGAGAGAGAGAGAGAGAAAGAGAGAGCGCGGCAAGAGATCTACTCTATCCATGTCCATCCATCCATCTCATGCCTATCCATACCCATTATGCATCAACCATCCAGTCCATAGCCATCCATCCATCCATCCATCTCATCCATCCATATCCATCCATCGCATCCAAATACCATCCATCATCCTGCCATCAATCCATCCATTCCATCCCATCATCCATCGCATCCATCATCCTCCAATCCATCCATCCATCCATCCAGTCCATCCCATCCATTCCATTCGCATGCCGTTCGTACCGTCCGTCCGTCCCGGTCCGTCGGCTCGGCGTCCGTCTCGTCCGCGTCCGTCCGTCCGTACCGTCGCTGTCGCGTCCGTGTCGTCCGCCTTCCGTGCGTTCGTCGTCCGTCGTCCGTCCCCATCCATCCATCCATACCATACCATACCATCTATTGCCATACCATGCATCAACCATCATCGCATCTATCGCATCCATCCATTCCATTTTCTCTCTCTCTCTGCTCTTCTCGTTTTCTTGCTCTCTCTCGTTTTCTTTCTCTCTATCGTTTTCTCTCTCTCGCTCTGCTCCCTCTTTCTCGCGCGCAGGCGTTCTATCTTTCTCTCTTCTCTGCTCTCTCTGCTGCTCTCTCTCTCTCTCTCTCTGGCTCTCGTCCGTCTCTCTGCTGCTCGTCTCTCTCTCTCTCTCTCTCTCTCGGCTCTCTCTCTCTCTCCCGCGCTCTCTTCTTTTCCTCATCTCTCTCGCCCCTTCTTCGCAGTAATATCGGGTGTCTCTAAGCACATAACCGTGATTACCAGTTGGCTCCTTATATTTATATCGGCGTCGAGTGAACATTCATGTCATTCGCCATTTTTCGCGCAGCGTTCAGGACCGTCACAAGCAGCCGCAGCACGGTAAGTGGACTGTAGGTAAAATGTGAACCACTGAATCAATGCGAAGGGCAACCTAAGGCGAGTTATCAGAACGCCGAGAGCGGATGAACCGCGTTCGCAGTACGAAATTGCATGCCCTGATTTCGTTTTGATGAGGCACCGGCTCTCCGAGGTGAACCGTACCTACTGTACGCAGCGCACGGGCACGCTACGGCGACGCACTGTTACCTCAGAATTATTAATGAGAAATCCTGGCTCGAATAACAATGCGCGCCCTGCTTGTACTTATCCCATTTTACGAATCGGCTTCCTGGGAAATTCGGGGCGGCAAATTCGAGCAGATTTTCTCATATAATATCTGGGTAAAGTATGTGGTAAGCCAAGTTTCAATATCGTATATTTCGAACAAGTGACATTCAGTCTACACACAGGTGGCGCAATATCATGGCGGTGTTGACGTGTATTTTCGCAACCGCGGCAGTTAGATTGGCGATATTGATTATGACTACTAGCACTTTAATTTAATTACTAATTTTTTTAGGGTTAGGGTTAGGGTTTAGGTTAGGTTTAGTGGTTTAGGTTAGGTTAGGGTTAGGTGTTTTTTTTTTTACAGTGGGCCTAGTAGTCATGATCCTAATAGTCATATCATATGAGCATCGTAAACTGTCCCCCCCCGCGCGGGTGGACGTGTATTTCGGCTGCAGTGTGTGTGCAAAAGTCTTCGAAGGCGTTCTGGAATTTCGTGTGGGCGGTACGCTTTCTTACCTTGCTCTGTATCAGCTGTGTATTTGGCATG